GGAAGGTGTCCCTGCCTGAAGCAGGGGGTGGGATGGGATCATCCTTAAGGTCTCTTCCAGCCCAAAACAGTCTGGGATTCTACAATTCTGTGATTCTGTGGTTCTGTGACGTAACAAAGATTTCAGGCCTCAGGTGTCCCCTGGGAGAGGCATTGTCCCAGCTTCAGATGGACTCTGGGACAAGCACTGAGCTCATCACAAAACATGGCAAAGGCTTCAGGAAGGTAGAACACCAGGACACCAGGACATTCCTGCAAGAGGTGCACAGCCCTCCCTTCCACATACCTTGTGCAACCTTGTTTACAGGGGTAAAGCTGCTGGTGACAGTGACAGATGTCCTGCTCAAGCTGTCTTAGATCCTGAAGGTCAGAGATATTTCCCAAACCCTACAGGATGAGTCCTCATCCCCTTCCCTGGATGCCTTTCCTTTTTTGTGTCCCCAGCAGCCTTATCAGTGGTGGGCCAGCCTTCCTGCTCTCTCCCAGTCCAGCCCTGCTCTCCTGCCTTCCTCCTCCTGCTCCCCAAGCTCCAATTGTCCTCACCAGCTGGCTTTCCTTTCACCTCCTGGAAGACACCAATACTCAGAGCACAGCAGCATCCCCCTTCTCTATCTCCCCTTCCCATTCCGATGTTGCGTTTCCTCCATCCCCTTCTCTCCACAATTTCACTCCCAGCTTTATTTGGAGCTCTGCCTTCTCCTCCCTCCCTCTCAGTAAAATGTCTTAACAAGCTCAAGCCTTGCTTTGTATGAAATCAAAGCCCGAGCAGTGTGCGACAGCTCAGCCAAACCCGATTTCAATGGTGCCGTGCCCATTCACATCAGACGAAGCCTACGGAGGTAATTTACTGCAGATAGGAACTGGGAGCAGAGGGCAGCTCATTAGTGTCTGGCATTGTTATTATTACTGGACTAAAACAGAACATCTCTTTCATTTGTTTCTATTCCTGGCGAATGCAAATGGGAGATCCAAATCAGAAACCCCGCCCACACCAGTCCTTGCGGGTCACCGTGGCTTTCAGGAGGGAGGAAAAACTGCGGAACAAGATCACGCCAAGAGCTGAAACCTCACAGAGGCAACAATTTAAAGGATTTCAAAGGCTGTTTCCATAAGCCTTTGGGGACTCCAATGGAGCATATTGATTAAACTTCGGAAGCAGCTAAAAGCGGCTCCACCATTGCTAATTAATACAGTGATGCCCCGATGCCCCTGTTCTTGTTCTACCAAGCTGCAGCCTGTCAAATCAATTAATATGCACCGCCCTGATGAAAGCAAAACCCTGCTTATCATTTGCTAAACGGATCAATGCACGGACTCCCTGAATATCATGAAGTGACCTGTCCTGTGAGGTTCAGTGGGGTGTGCTGCAAATGATTTTGGGGTGACACCAGACAAGCAAACCCATCAAAGCCCTTGTTTTTACTTTCTAATCCAAACAAGATTTCTGGGTGATGTTTCCTGTGTAGCTCGTTCTCTGTGGATTCTTGAACAATGACAATTCAAGGTGATCATTCCTGATTTCAATGGACCTGCCTGTGCTTATAGGATGGTATTTAGGGTGTGGGATTGTTGGGGTGCCCTGTGCAGGGCCAGGAGTTGGACTCAATCCTAACGGATCCCTTTCAGCTCAGGAAATTTGGGAATTTTATGATTCTATACCCACTGCATTTCCTCCCCTACACCAGGAAAATAATTTTTCCCACTTTTCAACCTGTCCAGCGGAGCTCATGTCTGGTGCTCTCTGTCACTGGACACCACTTCAGAACTGGTTTAATGATCCCAGTGTGGGGACTGAAAAATATTCCAAAATGGCGCTTTTGGCATCCAAGATCAAACCTGGTTTGATGATGTCTTCTAAAATTTGCTGTCTTGAACCCACCCTGAAGAAGTCTCCATGAGGCCTTCTGGGGGATCTTTAGGCAGCCCAATATTTATGTACAGTTTCTTTTAGGGCTAAGGAGCCAGATTTGACCCTTCTGTCTCATCAAAGTAGGGGAATTCCTGGGAAAGGAGTGGTTCCAGGCAGGACCATGCAGAGTGCAGATCACCTGGGTGCTGTGCCAGCCAGGATGACACCAAGAACAGAAGCCTGTCCTTGCTGTGCCACCACGTTCTTTGGGGAGTCTTTGGCAGCTCCCAGGATAACTTCCAAAGGGAAGGCAAAGGGATGTGCTTTGCTTTGCATGAGGCATCAGCTTGGATTTCGAGCAAGTTTTTGGCACCCCTCAATAAAATGCCATGATCTGCTTACTAAATTTTAATACAATGTGCCTCGGAAAAAAAATAAAGAAGGAGAAAAAGGAGGCAAACAGTTGAACAAAATAATTTCAGCAACATCTGCTGCCTTTCTGAGATATTTCACCAAAGGCCTATGGAGATCAAATATTTTCCTCTAATTAGAGCTCTTTCCTCAGAGCAGCTCCCCTGGATACAAAAATATCTCCACACCCCCCTGGCTGCCCAGAAATCCTCCTGGGACCCTCTGCAGCACAAAAAAACCACCCAGCTCTCCTTTAGGGTATCCTCAGAGCAAATACACAGCTTTTCCAGCAGGGAAAGCTTGGTCCCTGTGTCTATTCCTCCCTTCATCACACCACGATCTCTCACTTTCCACCTGGTTTTAGAATCGTGGAAGAACTGAGGCTGGAAAACCTTTAAGTCCAACCATCACCCCAGTACTGCCAGGGCCACCACTGATGCATGTCCCCTAGAGCCATATCCACATGGCTTTTAAACACTTCCAGGAATGGCAATGCCACCACTTCCAAGGGCAGCTGTGCCAGGACTGGACAACCCTTTCAGTGAAGAAATTTCCCCAATATCCAACCTGAACCTCCCCTGGCACAGCTTGAGGTTGTTTCATTTTGTCCTGCCCCTTGTTCCCTGGGGGCGTTTTCTGTGTCTAACATGACACCAATCAAATCAGTTCATTATTAGCATTGATTTAATTATTATATATAGTTATTAGCAGTATAATAAAGTCTATAAAGGAAAAAAAAAAAACAAGAAGTTGAGAGCTTGGGGTGGTTATGCCAAGAAGTGCTCTCAGATAGAGCTGGGCATGTTTCATGCTGGAAAACCAGTGGGAAAAGTTCCTTGGGCATCTGCCATGTATCCTGGCATCCTTGCAAGTGTCCTTAGAGAGCAGGAGTGCTCCAAATCCCAGCCCTTGGCTGCTGCTGAAGAGGACTGCCACCACAGGCTGGGGACGTGGCACCTGTGAGGGGCCAAATCCTGCCTCAGAACCCTGCTGGAAAGATCTGTGGGATGGGCATACAACTCTCAGAGGAAACCACCCCATTCCCTGTACCCCAATATGTGATGGGGTAAGCTTTACCTGGGAAGGGATTGGATTCTCCCTCTCCACTTCCATCCCGTTTATCCCTTAACAAACCTTATGGGAAGGAAAACACTAAATCCGATTTATTGTGTTGTGTCAGGGGATAAAAACCCAAACCAACAGCATTTAGCTTTTGTGAAATCAATGCATTGCAGGAGGGAGGAATCACCCCTTCTTTAGCCTCTGGGTTAAGGCAACTAATTCAGATCTGATCCACATGGAAATTTGCAGCCCATTCCCATGGCCAGGGAAGGCAGGGAAGAGCTCTGAAATGCTCCCAGTAGTGTAAGGATGATTTATGAGGCAGGTTGGAAAGAGCAAAGGAAGCCTGGGTTGTTAGTTCTGATATTTAGGGATGATAAACAGCAGGAAAGGGAGATTTTTTTTAATGTCTCTCCACAGATGCAGAAGAAACAGCATGGGCCTGAGTTATGTGGGATATTGGGAAGAAAATCTGAATTCAAAGGGTGGTTAGGCCTGGCACAGGTTGCCTAAGGCAGCTGTGGCTGCCCCACGCCTGGCAGTGTCCAACGCCAGGTTGGATGGGGCTTGGAGCAACCTGGGATAGTGGAAGGTGTCCCTGCCCATGGCAGGGGGTGAGGCTTTAAGGTCCCACCCAACCCAACCCATTCTATGAAACTAAGAATAGAAAAAGTTTGGTTTAATATTAAGGATAACTTTCCTGTCAGAGACATCTGTTATTCTGTTATCATGAACAGATCAATGCTACCAATGAGCTTCCCAAAGAAGGGCTCCAAACCCTATTCCCTCACCCACTAAAAGCATCCCACAACAGAGAAGGTCAGGAGAGAAAAGGGCCCATTCATTCCCCGCATTTTTCAAACTGTCCCATGGAGTAGTTTGTGTTGGAAGGAACCTTAAAGCCCATCCAGTCCCACCCCTTGCTATGGGCAGGGACACCTTCCACTATTCCAGGCTGCTCCCAGCCCCATCCAGCCTGGCTTGGAGCACTTCCAGGGATACAGGAGCATCTGCCACAACCTCTCACCTCTCTGCTCCAGCAGGAGCTCCCATGGACTTACCCACTACCTTGCAAGAGCAGGAGACCTGGGAGGGTGCAAATCCATCATCCTCCTTTCTCACGGGGAAAAAGAACATTTCCCTCTCTGGTTTCTCCTGCCCATCCTTGGCTAGGACTCACAGGTCTCTCTGTGGGGTACAGCAGCAGTGGGAGGGCACAAACCAGGAGTATTTTGCCTGTGTTTTGTCCTGTGCCTGAAACCACCACCAATCATTCCTAAACCACAGCAATGATTTAAAGTCCATGGCACAGACAGGGCAATCCAGAGCTTGGCACAGCAGGATCCCAAACTCTGGGTGTGCTAGGGAACCCTGGATCTGAAAACTCCCAGAGAGTGACAGCCCCATCCAGGGCAAACACAAACTGCCTTAATTACTGCTCCCGCTGCTAATTGCTGATAACCAACATCTCCCTGTGATCTGCTTTGGAACTGAGGTGCTCACAACAAGCTGGGAGGATGGATCCAAGGGGGATTATTTGCTTTCCCTCCATTCTCCAGGATTCTTTAAGCACATCTGCAAAGGTCAAGTGTGTCCCTCATTAGGGACCAATGTCTTCATGGGAGTGTGGAGATCAAAGGGAAGGGGAGGTGTAGCATGGAGGGGCTGGAAGACACATCCACAAGGATCTCCCCCACCCAAGAGGTGGCTGGAGAGGTTTATTGGGTCCTTAAGGGTAGAGGGACCAACCTTTGGCTCAGCCAAAACATCCCAGTGGCCAACTTGGTCACCTGCAAAACTGGGCAGGTTTACTGGGGGCCCAGAGGGTGGCTGGGGAAGCAGGAGGGTATCAGAGGTGACAATTCAGAGGAAAAAATGGGTGTTGAGGTGACAAAAAGCCTTTCCCAGAAGACTTGGAAAAAAATGCTTCTTCTCCCCGTGCATTTTAAAAGTCACCATTGACATCAGCATTGCATGGAGAAAAAGTCACCCATTAAAAAAAGAATGTGGCAGGAAGGGAGATATTTCAAAATGCAGCTGGGAATTATTCCCACCAAAGATGGAGTAATAATTTTGCAAAAAAAAATTTAACAAACCCCAGAAAATAATTTCTCTTTTTGCACTTGAAACTTTTCTCATGGAAATCACTTCTCTTTGCCAGATGTTGTCTGAACAGAGAAGTCCACAACAACTCCTTGGAACTGCTGGACCTTTTCTGGTGCTGCCCCTGCTCCACTTTCTCTCCATCCCTTGAGGAAAGCCCTGTTTAAAGGAAGGAAATGTATTTTCCATCAGCACGACAGAGGGAAGGAGCAGAATGTGACAGGATCTGGATAACCCCATCCTCAAGCTGTGGGATGCAGGTGTTTAAAATCCCTTCTACTCCACTCTTTTCCCCGTGATCCTCTAAATATTCAAGTTCATCAGCCCATTTCTAGTGCCCTGTGAAGGGGGGAAGTAGGAATGCAGCTCCTTTTCCACCCCAAAATCCTGCCAAGGCGGGAGGTGAGATGCTGGTACCTCTCACTGGGCAGGCAGGGGCTTTCCATGCCCTCAGGGTTTATTTGAGGACCATTTCCTAATTAATATGCACAGCTTCTGATTATTTTCTCACCTGCTGTTTCTTGCACGTCCCATCCAAAGAAAATTCCCCCAGTTTCCAGATAAATCCAAGGCCCACTTTTGAGCTCGAAGCTGTACATTAGTCAGACTCATTTGCCTGGGAACATGAAAGTCCCTTCCTATTTATCTTCTCATTTGAACTACATAAATAGCTCCCAGCACAAACTCCTCATCTATCCAACATTATCCCAGCAAATAGCAGCCTTTGAAAAAGAAAAATTAGTGGTGGGTAATTATTTTTGCGGCAGATACCAAAATGATAATTTCTTAAACAATTACTTTGAAATATTAACAATTGTTCTCTAAATTCCAGTTTAATTCCTGATATGAATTATAGTTTGTCAGATCTGGGCTTCGGAAACATTTGTTCCTTGCACAGAACATAAAAAATGCCAGTGTAACCTTTCGCCTCCGCAGCCTCCGAGCAGAGCCAAATGCCTCTGCTCTTGTTTTATCAACACAAATAATTAAAACACAGGAGAATGTTTGGGATTTATACAGTTGTTTTTGGCATCTTATTCATATTTATTTGATCTGTAAGATATCATTTTAATTAAAAGCTCGCTCTCTCTTCCTCTCTTCTCTGCCCAGAGAATAAATTATTTATAATAGCCCTGCTGCCTCAGACACCACTTGGAATGTGGGATACTGTGCTGGGATCCCGCTGGAGTGCCAGGCACAGCCCTGGGCACAGCTCTGCCTGCCTCAGCAAGGGTAAAATACCTGAAGTCATGGCTGGATCCACCCAGAGCCCTTTGGCACTGCTTCCCCCTAGAAATAAAAAGGTGTTTTCTCCCGTGTGAGGGCTAAATTTGTTTAAAAGCCTCTCTGTGCTGCCGTGGTTTGGGGCAGGGATTGGATTTTCCACACGCCCCCATCAGCAGAGGCAGCCCGTGAGGATATGTGGGATCACAGGAGACCCCGGCCGGCAGCTGGGAAGTCTCCTGTGGAAGCACAGTTACTACAAAGACCTTTTCATCTCATTTTAATCTTGCCTGCCTTTGCTCCCCACAGTCCAACCTTTACTCACTCCTTTTCTCTTCAGTCAGCTTCAGATGCAGCTCAGAGCAGTGGGTTAAAATACAAAAAATGGGATTTTTTTTCTTACTGCTTTTGAAGTCTGAGGGTTAAATCTGGAGAAGGAGCCTTCCCACTGAACACAACACTTATCAAAGCCATCCTAAAGCCTCTGGAGTTCAGCTGGAGCTTCCCAGGCATGCCTGGCTGGCTTTTGCACTGGATAAAGAGCAAGAATCCTCTTTGCAAGCCCAGTATTTGCAGGGTCCTAAAATCTGCAGAGCACAGCCTTCAGCACATTCCAAGGGCTGCAGGCCACAGCTTTCCTGGGCAACACCACCCTGCTGCTAAATGGGCTTCTCTGGGACTTCCCATGGAGAAAAAGCAGCTCCCAGTGGTTGTATTTAAGTTGAATTATCCTTGATTAGTGCTGGGATTGATGAGGAGCTGCAGGTGAGGTTTGGGCTGGGCCCCATCCCTTCCTTCACTGTGGCTGCTCCCACAGCAACTCCACGGCCACCTCACGCCCCGGGCTCCTCCAGAGGGACTCTGATTTCCATAAATGAGGCCAAAATTCCTCCCTGGTATAGGTCAACTAATTAAATCCCAGCACCTCGAATTATTTATGATCCTTTACAGCTATGCAAATTGAGCACTTGGAGAATTTTCAGGAGTATTTCTGAGTAACCAGTGCAGGCCAGCCCAGGCTGAGGGTTTAAAGCAGAGCTTGGTTTTATCTAAAATTGGTCCAGGGGCTTTTTGCCAAGCTGACCTTGCACTTTGGGAGTTTTTCAGGATGGATTTTTTCAGCACCAGGAGCTGGAGGTTGTAATGGCCCTGGTGTAATGCAGAGGAAGAGAGTGTGGATGCAGCTCCAGGATCAGCTGGACACGGACACATTATTGCTTTGGAGGCTGTGGGGACCATGAGGGGATATTAGGGTCATGGATATTAGGGGGCATCTCCTGAGGGTTTGCTCACCCCTCAAAGGCAGCATCAGCTGGGGCAGAGCTGGTCCTTGGGTTTGGAACCTCACAAGTTCTCCTGGTGTTCCCCCTGGGGCGCAGCCGTCTCCTTCCAGGGGATGATCCCAGTGCAGAGGATAATGGGAGAACAGGAAAAGGTACTGAAGGAAAAAGAAAAAAATAGAAAAAAAACCAAAACAAAACAAAACAACTCATCAGGGTTAAATGAATGGGGTGTTGCATTTCAAACCCTGAGCAATGGGAATGTCCAGTGGCAGGGAGCAATTGGAATGTCCAGTGTCCAGGAGGCTGAGGAGGGATTCATACATGTCTGCGAGCTTCTGCTGTCTCCCAGCTGGAATCAAAGGCAACTGAAATAAAGAGGGAAAAACCAAATGAAATCCCTCTCACAATGGGTCTGAGGGAATTCCTTCAGGAAATGCAGCTTGGGCAAGGACCAGGGGAGTCACACTGATGATGCCTCTGTTCCCTACAAGCTCTGGCCAGCCTGGAGAAGTGGAGACCTCCCAGCACCTTGCAGGACCTGAGCTGGCTACAGGGAGGACAGAGAGGGACTCTTTATCAGCATCTGTAGGGACAGGACAAGAAGCAATGGGTTCAAATAGAAACAGGGGAATTTTAAGTTAAATATGTGGAAGAAATCCTTCCCTGTGAGGGTGGTGAGCCCTGGCACAGGTTCCCCTGAGAAGCTGTGGCTGCTCCATCCCTGGAAGTGTCCGAGGCCAGGCTGGACAGGGGAACATTTCCCCTAGATGTGGAATTCCATCACAGCACCAAGCCCACATGGGTATTTCTCCAGCTCAGTTTACATTTATGCTGTTAATTTTCCATATTTCTTCAGTTCACCCAGCTCACTTTTCCCTTTTTTCACTTTCTCACTAGCCCCAGTCTCCAGATACCTCCAAATTTTCTCAAGGAAAGAAGCTGCTTTCAAGCAGGACTAAAATAAACAAGGTCATTGGAATAGATAAAAAATAATGAGTTCCCTTCCGTAGCACTCCTTGCTTGCCTCTCCCTCCCTCTCCCCCCTTTCATCTCACTCCAGAAAAAAGGAAAATAAATCTTTTCTAATCCCCTCAGAACCCTGCCTCCAGATCCCCCTGCGATGCCCATCGGAGCAGTGTTGGAAACGGCAGCGTGGACCCAGAACACATGAAAACCAATTTATTGCCCAATCCCCAAACCTCCCTCTTCCCCCCATGCCAGGAACATCCCATCCCACCCCTCCAGTCAGGCTCATTCCAGTCAGTGGCCTCCCCTGTGCTCCTTTTCTTGATCTATTTGATTTTTTCACAAAGTCTGAGAGATTTGGAAACGGATGGGAAGTCTCGGAGCTGGGGTTTAAATGGTTGATTAAAGAGCAGTCAGCAGAGTCAGAGAAAGTAGGAGACAGCTCTTGGGAATGAAGATGATTTTGGCCAACCTGTGCTTCCAGCAAACTCAGCTCCACTGGGGTTCAGTCATATCCCTTCTCCAGGGGTTTAAAATCCCACTAGGTGCTCACCAAAAAAAAATTCAAAAATCTCATCTTTTTGTCAGCAGAAAACAAATTTGTTCCTACAAATTTGCAGGGAGGAACAGGAAGGTTTTAAAAGTTGAACTTCTTTGCTCTGGCACTTTTTAAAAAGGAATATTATTCCAGCTAATGTTCTGAAATGACATTTCATTCTGCAATTGAATAAAACATTTCATGGGATCTAAAATTAATCAGGGTGGGAAGGAGAAGGGTTTATTTTGGGAGGAGAAAAAAAATGAAAGGGTCTGTACTTTGCAGTGATCCAAACCATTCCTTATTTGAATTTTTGGTGGAGGATTGGGCAGCGAGCTGAGAAGATTTCCATTTGCCCAGCTCTAATTGGAAGCCCTGAACCATCAAGGGCTTTACATTTGCAAAATGCAAAGCATGGAGAATCCCAGTGGGAAAACTTTGGCCCTGCTCCTGCCTTCACTCTGTTGGTTTGATTGATGATTTTAGGCCTGAGATGTTTGACATGTGGGGTGGGAGGGGGTGAACACATCCAAGAAGGGATGTGGCAACATCTTTTTCTCCTCAACATGGTGCAGGGGCTCCTCCTTCTCATCAGATTTCCTAAAAAACCCCGAATTATTCCCTGTAATCACTAATGCCACATTGTATTTTACCTAAATCATGTATTAGTGTTAGCAATAGCGTTGGGAAACCCCTCTGGAACAGCTGGTCCAGTTTAGCTCTGTGGTCTTGGGGGCATCTTCCAGATGTGTTAATCCCCTGGGAAGAGAAGGTAGCTGGAGATCCCCAACTCTGGATTAAAGCTCTCAGTGTAGGTCCCAGGAAATAGATTTTAAGTAAAATCATGGAATCATGAAATGGTTTGGGTGGGAAGGGACCTTAAAGCCCATCCAGTCCCACCCACAGGGACACCTTCCACTATCCCAGGCTGCTCCAAGCCCTGTCCAGCCTGGCCTTGGACATTTCTAAGGATCTAGGGGCAGCCACAGCTTCTCGGGGCACCCTGTGCCAGGGCCTCAGCACCCTCACAGGGAGTAATTCCTTCCCAATATTCCATCTAAACAAGGTAAAAAGGTCAGTGGTAGCAGATTTCAGGCCTCAGCAGCTCAGTCTAGATGGGCAGCCACGCTGGCCACTGTGCCAAGGCAGCACATCCAGGCAGCCTCTGCGTTGTGCCAGCACTGCCAGGCGGGGCTCCCATCCAGCCAACAGCAAACCCAGGCTCAGGTACATCAGCAGCTGGCCCCAGGCTGGGTGGACCTGCTGAGCTGGAACCATTTTGGTCTCAGTTGTGATGGCTGGCCATCTCCAAAGGACACCCCAGCCCTGCAGGCCATGTGTCACATCTCCAGCTGGACCCCAAGACAATCCCTCCACCAGCTCTGGTCTTGCTCTGGGCTGGGCTGGAGCCCCAGGCTCACCTGAGCCAAGTCTGACTGCAATGGACCTTTGGATCCACCCCTTTCTCCCTGATGCTCCCAATCCCCTCCTCAGTGTGGCTGTGCAGCTCCAGCCTGCCCTGGGCGGGCGAGGCTGGCTGTCCCCTCGTGTGCCCAGCTCCTGCCAGCCCAGGGGCTGCCTGTGCCCTCCCTCCTGCCTGGCCTGCGCTCAAAACCACAGATGGAGGCCAGAAACCAGGAAACCCAAGAAGCTTTACATGAAAATCACTCTGAAAGGCACTGCAGAGAGGAGGGGGAGGCAGGGGAGCGGGAGCAGAGAGCAGCTCCACAGCTGTTGTCTTTCGTGTCCTTTAAAGCTCCTGTTATGTCGTTTTTTTAATTAAAATGTTTTTTAAGAGGCTGCTGGGATTTACTGCTCCTTGTCCTTGGTGGAGGTGAGCGGTGCCAGGAGCAGCTGGGGGCTGCTGCAGGGATGGAGAGGCAGAGGAGAGCTGGGGGCACAGATCCTGCCTGCTCCAACCTCACATCACAGCAAAGGGGAGATCCAGAAAAAAAATCAGAATGCTGCTCCAGACCCTCAGACAGGGCAGGAATAACTCTAAATCCCTGTTTGTGCCTTGCTTGGGCTCAGTTTTGACGGTTGTTGCTCTCCACCAGCCACCAGTGGCTCGGGCTGTGGCTGGGGGGTGAGCAGTGAGCTTGGGAAAGGGAAGATCCATGGAAAACAAATCCTTCCTCCTGGTAAAACATGCTCCGAAAGCCTCGCTTACAAAGGAACGCTGAGCTTTAATCCCAGCCGGGCAGAATTTTCTGTGTATTTGTGAAATAAATGATCTCTGTGTGCTTAGCCAAAGCAGTTATTAATGTTTTCACACCAGAGGAGACACGCACTGCAATTGCAGGACCTGTGAGTGATGAATAATGAACACCTAAAAAAACCAGAGGAAACATCAGCATCTGTTTGTAGGCCACCAGCGATGAGAAGGCAGGCTTGGGCTCACCACTGAAAACCACGGTTTGACCCCAGGAAAGCACCTCAGGGAGAAGGAGCCCTGGTCCCAGTGCCCCTGTGACAGCAGCGGGCATGTGCTGCTGATAAGTGGGGAAATGATAGCAGGAGATAAGCTCAGCTCTGCTCCACGCCAGGGCTGTGCACAATATCACGGTTCATTATCGAGGCACGCAGACACCCCGGCAGAATCCTAACCTAATGAAAGTCTCATTTTCCAGAGTAACAGTTCATTACTGGACTTGCTGTGCCGCTTAAACCCCTAGGGTGGGAATAAAAAAAAAAGCCCTCTGCAAGTCTGCTGAACACGCAGTGAAATCCTGGTGGGTTGGGCATTTGCAGTTGTGCTGCAGCTCCCTTCAGGGAGGGGAGATGCTGCTTGCTCTGAGTCAGAAGGGTGGTTTGAGCCTCTGTGGGGGTTTTTAGGACTCTGGGGGGTTTAGGATATAGATCAGGTCCCCATGCTGTTGCAGCAGAGCTGCCCAGCCTGGTATTTACCCAAGGCCTCACTCTGCTGGCACAAAAAGAGGTGCCCAAAGGTGACAGATCTGACTGGCAGCCTGGCAGTCTGAATTCAAACACATTTACAAACGAGACAAGATGAGCTGGGAGAGCTACTGAGGCCCAAATTCCTGCCCTGCATCTCCTTAGAGGGACCTCAGCTTAGCAGGCTCTCCTGAGGGCAATTCCTGGGAGTAGGATGAGGGCTTGGATTAGAATCGTGGAATCATGGAATCATGGAATGGTTTGGCTTGCCTGGGACCTTAAAGCCCACCCAGTTCCATCCCCTGACATGGGCAGGGACACCTTCCACTATCCCAGGCTGCTCCAAGCTCCATCCAGTCTGGCCTTGGACACTTCCAGGGATCCAGGGGCAGCCCCAGCTCCTCTGGCACCCTGTGCCAGGGCCTCCCCACCCTCACAGGGAACACATCCTTCCCAATATCCCATCTAACCCTGCCCTCTTTCAGACACTCCCCCATTTCCTCCCAAGGGATCCCTTGTTCCTTTACAGAGGAGACTTTCCAAATCCATGTTTGAAAGCAAGGGAAGGATCAGCTTTCCCTCCCCTGTAGAGTCGGAGTTCTCCCAGTCCCCAGGACCACCATCACGGACCGTGGTCCATGGACAGCCTGCCAGGAGCCTGCAGAGACACGGCTGCTTAAACAAAGCTGTTCATCCTCACTTCCAGCAGTAAAAGATGGCAAAATATTGTCATCTGTGCCTTTTCCCTGCTCATCTGTTCCCAAATAGAAGGGGAAATTAGTGAGACAGCCAACTGAGAGCCTCAGAAAAAACTTGCTGAGATCCCCAACCTGGAGAAGAGACACCTCCCAGTAAGAGCTGCTTTCATCCCAGTGTGGTGGGACAGAGCCTGGGGCCAGCCCAAGACTGTGGCTGCTTCCACATCCACCCAGCTCCAGGCTCTGCAGGCTGCTGTTAATCCAGGGGCCTCGAGAGCTGACGTACAACACGTTTGCACTCTCCTCTGAATAAGAAGAAGGAAAAAATAGGACAGGTAGCTGTGCAAAGCTGCAGTCATGGATCAGGCAGATGGACAGCGAAAGATTTCCCTATTCTGTTCCAGGAGAATCTGCCCTCCATGTTTTCAGCCCGCCCATACCTGGTTCATGAATCTGTTTGCCTACATTATTTGAGGGCGTAGCAGACAAAATCCCAGCGGTTTTTGACAAGACTGAAGCTGTTCCGTGGAAAATGTAAGGACAGCTCCTTCCTCAGCAATGCAGGACAGAGCAATTCCAGAGGTCTGGACCTTGCCCCTGGAGCCAAGGAGGTCCATCAAGATGCAACCCTGCTGCCAGGCAGACAGCAGCAGTGTCCTGCTGTTTCCTCACTCTGCTTTACAAACACCACCCATCTCCTCCCAGAGCAGCAGCTCTTCCTGCCAGCCAGGGCTGTTGGAAAAAATGAAGGCTCACTGTCAGAAATTTGGGGAAATTACAGTTATTTGTGCTTTTTCCAGGAGGGAAGAGGGCTTGTCTCTGTTAGCAGCCCCAACTAAAAGTCAGGTATTTAGTCTCAAGGTTGCCTGTGCTTTCTCTATTGTCGCCAGGATGGCAAAATCTCTTGAGGACTCCTGATCCCATCTGTCATGGATACCCTTTGGGACAGGAAAAATGGCCTTCTGGAAGGAACCTGCTTCTGCATGGAGCAGAGAGAGAGTAAAAACCTGAGCATGCACCTCATTTTGCCGTGATTGGTGAGGTGAGAGGAATCCCAGCCCATATGTTTGAACACATCAGTTCTTCCTTCTTGACATCCTTCCAGTCATGAAGAGTGCCTCATCCCAGTTTCCTTCTCCAGGATGTTACTGAACATGTCCATCACTGCATGGAGTTTGACTGCAAATAACAAGGAAGGAAGGAGTGATCCTGTGTGAACCAGCAGAGCCTCCAAGCTCTCCCTAAGCAGGTTTGTTTTCTTTTACGCCTTTCTCCCTAAAATCAGTCTCTGTAGAGCCAAAATGAAGGGCAGTGATCGCCTTCTCCAGCCCCTGGAGGTGACAAGGACATCCATGTATACTTATTTCCTGATATTCCCATTAAACCAGCCCATCCTTCCCACTCCTAGCCAGCTCTAACTGGGATCCTTCTCCATCATGGATGGCAGCACTCCCAGAAGAGCTCAAAAGGCCAAGGAAACAAGAATGAAACCATTCCTGGCTTTCAGTGGACAGGCTGAGGATGATGTGGGGATGGAAGATGGGGATGGTTCACTGTCCTTTAAAACAGAGCTTGGGAAACAGAGCTCTGGTTCCCCAGCCGAGGCTGCTGGGACCATTTGCTGTCACATCCAACAGCTGCACGGAAGGGACATGTTCAGACATGGCAAAGTCCAGCTGGGAATGAGGGCCATCCCCATCCTGGGGTATTTCCCAAGTGCCAAAGTCCACACAAGGTCCAGAGAGGAAACTAAAACACTCAGGATGCAGTAGGGAAGTACCTGCAGGAGCTGCCTCAATGCTGTCTCCAGGAGGAAGGAGGAGCTGCTCCACACACACAGTTCAGGATGGTTCCTGCTGCATTCTGACTGCCCAAAGTCCAAATCAAACCCTATAAAAATAAAACCTCAATGTTCTCATCTCCACCCCAGCCACAGACCTGAGGGGTGGTTCAAGTGATTGGCTTCTGCTTCAGCTTCTCCTTGTACAAAATGGAATTAACTACATAAAAACACCTCCAGAAAGCACAACAGGTTCTTTGAAGAACAGGGAATCTAAAATTGGTGGATCTATTTATAAGAGTTGCAGGTAATGGAATGCTAATCCCATTCATTAACACTCAGACTCTGCTCATTAGTGTCGTTTTACTCTTCCTTCACAAGGCCCAGATTTCTATTTTGCACATAATCTGTTTTATTAAGCAGTTTTTTCATAGCAAAAAAGTTTTCTCTTCTGTGCATGTTTTTTTTATAAGTCCCCTCTAATTTAATTAGGCCCCAAAAGGTTCAAGGAAGTTTGGGTATGTATCCAAACTTCAGGAAACTCACTGGGAACTCCACCTCCAAAGCTTTTAAGTTTTACTGATCATTGCTCTGTGTTCCACATTCTTCCTCCATGTCACTCCATAATTTTTCTGGTTTACAAGATTAGAGCTCTCCTGGGGAAGAAAAGAGCTTTTTTCATATCAAACATCTCCCAGTGGGTGAAACCCCAGCATCAGCCTGGGCGAGGGGCTCTGCCCACCCTTGGGAAATGTCCATTTCCCATCCCTTGGAAAGCAGAGACTGGCTTTTAAAGTCCTTCCCAGATTCTATTCTGCACAGAATTGTTCGATCTCCTGAGTGATGGATTCTCCCCATGGGCTCAGTTCTCCTTATGGGATGCTGAGGTTGAACCCCAGGACTGGACCAGCAGTTGAACTCTACTCCAGCCAGGAAAAAAGCACTGGAAAAAGGAGAGCCTGTTATTTGGTGCATCCCGCTTGGCATTCCAAAGCCATCCGTGGAAAACTCATCCTGGGACCAGCCTCACACCAGACCCCACATCCTCACAGAATCAGGAAATCATTTCGGATCAAAAAGCCCTCTCAGATCATCAAATCCAACTGTTCCCCACCACTGACCCATGTTTCTAAATGCCACATCCACACAGCTTTTAAATCTCTCCAGGGACAGTGGGAGCTGGGCAGCTGTGCCAGAGCTGGGCAGCACTTTCACTGAAGAAATTTTCCTAATATCCACCCTGGTGCAACCTAAGCCCATTTCTGACCATCACCTGATTCTGGATCACATCCCAGTCCCAGACTTCGTGTGGCAGCTTTTCTGCTAGCAGTGTTTATGGGGGAAAACATCCCAAACAGGAGCAGAGATCCACGTGCAAGGCCTCCAGATGTGTCCCTGCCATCCAGAACACCTCCCAGCCCAGGATCTGCATCTTCACTGGCATTCCCTGTGGTTTTTCCAGGGGCAGATATCCTCAAGCCCCCTGATGCTGCAGAGGTACCTTAACAGGGGCAGCACCCACTTGGAACCTGAGTGGTTCCTGCATGTGGAGCCCTCCCAGCCTCTGGGATCTGCACCCTGGCCCTGCAGCCTCTTTTCCTGCTCAGCTTCCCTGCAGCCAGCAGGGTTTGCATTCCCTGCTGACTCTCCATCCACTCCCCTTCCCCCTGCTAAACCCCCCCACCCCCACCAGGTAGAGGATTTTGGGAGCTGCCATTCCTACTCATTAGCATAACCCAGTTAGCTCCATATTGCTCCAATTTAGGCAGAAATTGCAATTTCATTTGGTGCTTTAAACAAATGGGAAAATGTTCTAAACCACGGGCTGTTATTGAATTAAATATTAACATAAATACAGAGCTGAATGGAGCACTGGATTATTAATTTTAATATTTAATCCAACAAGAAACCTTATGGCTGTTTTTGGGTGGTTTATTTTCTTTAATCCAATTTCCCATCAGCACTAAAATTAAGTTTTCTTAATGAAGGCAGGTGATCAGCAAAGTGTCCTCTCGTGGTCCAGGATTCCAGAGCTCATGACTGCGAGCATCCAGACAATAAAGAGAGGAAGCAGCAGCAGTAATGATCCCTCTGTGCTGGCATGGGCAGGAATAAAAGGAACATAATTAATATGATGTGCAGCTCAGATGAATGCAAGCCAGAGGAGATTAAAGAAAGCAGGTGACCCTTAGGTGTTTATTGCTCCCAGAGAAAACAGCACAGATGGCTGACTTTGAGGGAGACAGCTTTAAACAGCAGCTCACCTAAGAGAGAGATTTGGGGTGCTGGTTCCAGCCCAGGTCTGTGCCCTGTCCCCACGTCACTGTAGCCAGCCCTTAGAGTAACAGGCTTCTTCCAGCTCCATCTGCACATCCATCAGCTGCTGCTCCACCAGCCTTTAAGGGATGCTGGTGAGTGCTCTAGAGGAGGGGACTGGGTATGCTGGCAAGAACAGATCAGCTTTATCCCTGGGAAGAGCAGCACGGTGTTTCTGGCTCTGAATGGACTCCAGGTCTGATTTTTCTCCCCTGCTGCTCCCCAAATGGGCTGCAAGGTGGGGCAGAACATGTGGATTTTAGTGATGGCATTCAGAGTTGGAGGAAAATAGGAAAAGTAAACCAATCCCATCAGGAAAAAGGGCTGGGAAAAGCATTTCTCAGCAGCTGCAGCTTGTGTAAACCAGTCTGGTGCTTCTTTATTTACACCAGCTGGGGATCTGCTCCAGGAGCCTGGGAGGAGTCTCCCTCCTTCCAGTGGAGCAGCATCCTTTCTTCTGCTTGTATTTCCATCCAGAGTTCAGACATGGTCAGTTCTCTGCCCAGCCAGGGCAGTTGTGTTTCCATAGGTTGTGGGGGGCAGGAAAAGCTCCTTTCCTGCCTCCTGAGCTGTCTCTTGGCCTTCCTTTGGTTTCTTGCACCACCTGATGCTTCCCACAGTAACCCTGAGGAGTGGAAGGAGGGGAAGCTGGGCATGGAGGGAGAGGGAGAGGGAGAGGTGGTCAAGGGTGGAGGAGACTGGCTATGAGGAAGCAAGCCAGAGGCAATAGATGGCAAGGCTTGGACACTTCTGGGGATCCAAGGGGCAGCCACAGCTTCTCTGGGCACCCTGTGCCAGGGCCTGCCCACCCTCACAGGGAAGGATTTCTTCCCAATATCCCACATAACCCTGCCCTCTGGCAGTGCAAAGACGTTCCCCTTGTCCTGCCACTCCAGGCCCTTGTAAGAAGTCCCTCACCAGCTTTCCTGAAGTAATTCCCACTTGAATTCCCACTTGTTCTACCTTCCACAAGGCAGTGAAATGCCTGGAAAGGCTGCTCAGCTTGTGGTGGCCAGATGCAGGTGTTTTTCAGCCCAGGCTGATGCCAAGCAGAGCTGCAAACAGGAGAGGAGACAGCCCAGCCCTGCCAGCACATCCTTATGTTTCATTGTTTAAGCTCTTAAGCTCCTATTTGAATTTGAGCTGTAAAACATTGAACTGATTAAAAAAAAAAAAAAAAAAAAAAAAGGAAAAAAAAAGCTTTCAGCCTTCCTTAATCCAGAGAGCAGGGCTGGAGGAATGTTTCAGGCAGCTGTGACTTTGCTGAATGGAGGCACAGCTTTTCATATTTCCCAGGGCACTGGGATGGAGACCTGTCCCTTCCCCACCACAGGAAAGCCAAAGCAGGGCCCTGCAGGTCCCACAAGTCTCCTGCCTGCTGCCAGTGCTGGCAGAGGCACGAAAGGCACCAGGAAATGTTTCTGTGCTGCTGGTTTTGACTAGAGAGAGGCCTGCAGTGCAATCCCTGGTTGATACTGGAGACTTCCAGATATTCCTTGTCACCACAGAGCCACAGAAACCCCCTGACCTCCAGCACCTGCTCGTTGGGGGCTGGAGAGGAAAGGAGGCAGCAAAGCCTGCCTTGGGAACAGTGACATGGTGATTGCTGATAATCACCCCTAATGATGGCCCGGGAGAGCTCTGTGGCCACAGGGAATCCACTGATTGCCAGCCCCTCCTGGTCTGACAGAAAGCAATAAAGAGAAATGTCCTGGAATTCCAAGGCAAGTCACAAACCTGTGTGTCCATCCCTTGGTCACAAACTGGACATCAGTGATGGCATCTCTTGGCCCACTGTTGGATCTGACCTTGTGCAGGAAAATAACCCAGTCAGGGGCTGCTGAGGCGTTCCATGGCAAGAGTTCAATTCATTTCCATAGAATCATGGAATGATTTGGGTTAGGAGGGGCATTCATACTCATCCCATGCCACCCCCTGCCATGGGCAGGGACACATTCCACTATCCCAGGCTGCTCCAAGCACCATCCAGCCTGGCCCTGGACACTTCCAGGGATGGAGCTGCCACAGCTTCCCTGTGCCAGGGCCTCACCTCCCTCACAGGGAAGAATTTCTTTCTAATGTTTAATCTAAACCCACTCTTTGTCAGTTTGAAGCCATTCCCCTTGAGCTGACACTCCAGACCTTTGGAAATAGTCTCTCTCCATCCTTGTCGGAAGTTTTCAAGGACTGGAAGGCCACGGTTAGATCACCCCAAAGCTTCTCCAGGTGAACCATCCCAGCTCTCCCAGCCTTTCCTCCCAGCAGAGCTGCTCCATCCCTCTGCTCACCCTGGTGCCTCCTCTGGGCTCTCTCCAGCAGCTCCAGCTCCTTCCTGTGCTGGGCCCAGGGCTGGGGCAGCTCTGCAGGTGGGCTCTCACCTGAGCAGGGCAGAGGGGCAGAATCCCAATCCCTTTGCTGGTACCCCGGAGGGCATGGAGGATTTCTGGGATGGGACCTGTCCAGCTCCCCAGCCTGGCCCAGCCCCAGCTCCCTCCTGGCAGTAAAAGGTGTGATAAATACAGCAATCAGGTGGGAAATGGGATTTGTGAAGGGATGTGACTTTGGGGAGGGCAGCTGGAGGGATGAGAGCCAGCACTGCAGCTGCTCACAGCTGGAGCAAGCTTGGGAAGAAAAAGAGATCCATGGCAAAATGGGCTGGATTTGTGCTGGTCTCCGTGGAAAGGGCTCCCAAAGAAAGGTGGGAGCATCTTCCCCACAAAGCCAGGAAGAGTCAGGGCTGTGCCTGGAAAGGAAGGGAGCCAGGACAATTAAACCTGCCTGATTCCTGAGCCAGGTTATCCCAGATGTGAGATCCCTGCAGATGCAGCCTCTCTGCAGCTGGGCTGGCACCGCCACGCAGGGCTGAGCCAAATCCCAGTGATCCCAAAGGAATCTGCTGCCTCCCCACCGCTCCTCCTGTTCAGCTGGGGCACTCCAGAGGGATGGATCTGTGCCAGACTGTGACTGGCATCCTGGCAGACCCCAGGCAACTTCGTGGAGCAGAGGGAACCTGCAAAACAAAAGGACACACAAGCAGGTGAGGCATGGTCAGAGGTGCCTTTGCTTTCCAGTGATGATTTATTTGCTTTGTACCTGGTGACAAACACAAATAAAACACGATTTCATCAGTGCTTTTCACTCTCCTTTTTCTGCCAGGCAGAAGAAGAAAAAAAAAAAATGGTGACAAAAGTCCTCCACTTCAAGGGAGATTTTTCTGTGGGACACATTTACAGCAGAACATCCCTGGGAGGAGCTTGCAGGGGTCCTTGGGATGCAGCAGAGGGATGAATACTGTGCCATTCCCAGGAAAAACTGTGGCTGCTCCCCCCCAGTGTGTGCTGTGGACAAAAACCACCACTGTGGCTGTGTCACAGGGGATTTGCAGGAGTCGTGGTGTGACACAGCACGGGAGGGAACAGAGGCTGGAAGCACAAGCAGGATGGATGGACAGCAGGCTGCTCTCCTCAGATATCTGCATGTTACTTATCCTCCTCATTTATATTCACAGCATCATTAAATTGTTTGGGCTGGAAGAGATCTTACAAGCTCATCCAGTTCCACCCCACGCCACGGGCAGGGACACCTTCCACCTGGTTGCTCCAAGCCCCATCCAAAGTGACCTTGGACAATTCCAAGGATGGGGCAGCCACAGCTTCTCTGAGCAACCTCTCCCAGTGCTGAACCCCTCTCTGAGTAAAGAACATTCCCCTCATTTACATCTAATGAGTCAAGAATTCCTGCTGAGCACATCTTCTCCTATTTTCTGATGGACTCTCCGCCTGTTGTCCCTGCCTGCATCTATTTCTTTGTCCTGCTCCCAGCTTTTCCCTGCCACATTCTGCAGAGACCCGGGGGAGCAGCACTGGGAATCCCAGGCCTGGGAAATGCTCAAGGGGTGGGAGAGGGCTGAGCCCCCCGGGGCAGCAGGATGAGCCCTGCGGGTCTCTCCAGAGGGGCCGATCCCAGATCCAGGTCTCCTTTGGCGGATCGGACACGGCTCCCTGCGGCTTCCCCTGCCCGGGAGATATGGGACCGGCCATCCCCTTCCCCCTGCCTCCTTTTCCTCCTATTTCCAGGGATGGCCTTGGAAAACTGCGTGTTTTCCCAGCTGCTCCCTCAAGGATGTGCACAGCAAGCCCAGTGGGGGATTTCTCCCACGGCACCAGGGAGGTGCTGAGATCTTTTAAAACACAATCCTCGAATTTGGAAACTCCAGCCAAAGACGTTTTCCCTTAAAATGCCCACCCGCTGCCAAGATACCCCTTTCCCCCTTCCTTTTATTTATTTATTTTCGCAGCTCTGAGCCTGCAGAGATGCCACAGACCACGAGAGGACACCCTCCTACCTCCGACTTCCCTGGCGCACCGCGGCTGGGGAAAAATATCCGTAATAATATTACAGGGAGCGACTGGAACACACACGTCGGGAAGGAGAGAGAGCGAGAAACAATATGTTTATCCTCCTGCTGTATCCAGCCATTTATCTGGGCAGCAAGTAGCCCTTTAAATATACAAATCCCAGGCAGATTAAGCTGGAATAGGCAGAGCAGGGATTAGGAGCTGCATTCCCAGTGCCTGTGTGTGCGAAGGGAGGGCTGTGTGCGTGCCTCTGTGTGTGTGTGTGTGTGTTGGGTGACTTTAAAATGGAATAAACCACATTTAGCAGCTAGGTAGCTATGGAAACATCACCAAAATTGTTCTCCCACCTTTCTGCCGCACTGCTTTCCGCAGCCCTGCAAATGCTGTCAGGGGAGGGCTGAACATTGTTTCTTATAAATAATAGAATGTAAAGAGCTACAGGAAGAATCATCACATTAGGATCGTGGAGTGGGGATAGTTCAGGGGGAAAATCGTCCAGCAGCTCTAATACTAGTTTCTGATGATTTAGCAATGATAAGGGACTTAATTTTCATCTTTTTCTGGTTTTTTTTTTTTGTTTTTTTTTTTTTTTTGCAGTTTATGGAAGGTTGCAGGCTGAGAAGATGCACTGTGGTGTGTGTACTCATGGGGAGGTGTGTGTGTATGTACATAAATATATGTGCAAAACATCCTCCAAAAGGGTGAGCACAAACAGGAATATCACAACAGCAATTCCGGGATTCAGAAGAGAAGGATTTCTGCTGCTTCCCAGCTTTTCCTGCATGCCACAGCCACAAGCAGAGGCAATTCCAGCTCTGCGGCTCCGCTCTGCCCCAGCCAGGCTCCCCAGTTTCTCTCCTGACCTATGGATTTGCAGATAATCCTGCCATGGCCCTGCTGGAGCACTGCCAATCTTGTTGAGGTATTTAGAGACTGAGAAGACTGGTTATATATCACAACTGATTTTAAAGAGGCTTTAAACCTGGGAATTAAATTCCAGCCTGCCGGACTCAACCAGAAAATGCTCAGCTGTTTTCACTGGGGTCAGAATTTAATCCAGGGCTGAGTCCATTTAAGTCTCCTAGGGCTGAAGTTGGTGTTCTGGAGCAGCCCAGGTGACAGTGTGATGTCCAGTGGCACATTCCTGCTACCCCCGAGCAGGAGGGGCTGGCTGGGAATGGCCAGGACAAGGGCAGGGAGCAGCATGGGCCTTGCTGTCCTACACTGGCGCTGATCAGAAGTGCCCTGATGTCCCCTCATTGCTCTGCCTTTTGGGTGTTGCCACAGGTCCAAAGTGCCAAATGTAGGAGCCAAGTCTGGGGTCTCTATCCAGCATCAGCCCTGGCTTAGCAGGGACCCATCCAGCTCCACATCTGCCTCCTCCAAGCCACTTTCTTCCTATTTTTCATTTCTTCAGTCTCTCAGATCAAGGTCTCCTGTCCCCTGAGGTCCTCCTAGTTGTGTTTTCTTCTCACACCGTTCCTGGTGCCTGAGACAGGGACACCAGTGATACATTAGGTTTTAGCTGTTGTATTTTTCAGATTCTGTCCCTCTTTAGCATCATATTAAGGGATGGTGAGCTCTTTTCACACAGTGGGTAGACAAAACAATTCCTTTCCTAGCTCAGAACCAAGGACAAGCACCCAAATTTCAGACCCAAGAGCATAAACAACACGGACTGAAGAGAGAAAAACAAGAAGGATGAGACTTCATAACTTAAAGCTATAATGGTACAATTAACTCCAATATGGAAATGGACCAGAACTTATAAAAGTGAGACACCCCATGACCTGTTGTGCATTTTGTGACCATTTTGGTTCATCTTGGGTGTAGCCCTGTCTGGGCTCTTGTGCTGCCCAAGATGTATTCACTGAGGCCTTTTAATAAATCCCTACTTTATTCTTTAGCTCTGTCCAGTCTCTGTTCTAGGTCATCCTCGATAAGGAATCACCAGGACTCTCTCCCAGCACCCAGGGGTGCTCCAGGATGGATCCAGCAGGATGGTGACAGGCTCTGTTTGCTGCTCCATTTCCCCCCTGTAACTCCTCATGCTGCCCTTGCCCTTGTGGATATTCCTGGACATGCTCAGGAGTGTCCTGTGCTGCCTCTCCAGTCTCTTCCCAGAGGGCTGACAGCTCCTTGGGACCACACAGGTGCAGCTCCTGTTGCTTTTCCCCCTGTGCAGTTGCCAATCAATAATCAGTCGGACTCGGTGACCCCTGTGGGTTCCCTCCAGCTCAGGATATTCCATGGTTCCATAATTCCATGGCTGCTGCAAAGCTTCTTTGCAGTCACCTTCTGCTGGCCCTGTCCTGAGCATGCCACATCAAGGCAAATTTTACTTTCCTGCCTGCTCCCCTTCCCACATTTTTTATGCACAAGGCAGCAGAAGCCCTGCCACACTTCCCTGGAGGGCTTTACCTGTAATTTCTGCCTCATGGGCAAAGGGATGGTTGCTCCTCAGACCCCACTGGAGAATGCTCCTGGTTCACAGCTTCACCTTCACTCCTGGCAACTCTGAAAGACTTTTTGGAGGGCTCAGAGAAGAGTTCAGTGCCCAAAGCATTCCAAGCTTGTACAAATCCTGGTTCGTGCCAGGACCATGAGCAATCAACCCTCTCCTTCTCACCTTGACGTGTT